TTGGCCAAGTCACTTTTCCCAACTTTTGTTTTTATCTATTGTAGGGTCAGCAAGGTGAGGGAGAAAGTCATAAAAAGATCTCAGTATGTGGTCTGGCCCCGGCATGAATGCTGACAGCAAAGTGGATTCCAGAGGGCAGATCTAGGTTTCAGAAGTGGGTGAGATTCCCAAGGTGTAGTGGCATTTCAATTGTATTTTAATAAAGACTGCTGAAGATCTTAGAGTAAAACAGTCCCACTGGTCAGCCTTGCAGACCAGGTTATGGTGACACACACCTTTAACACCAGTAGCCTCACTAGTTGCCATAGAAGTCAGGTGGTACATGCCTTTAGTCACGGTGGTGCACACCTTTAATCCCAGCCCTAGAGAGGATTATAAAAAGGGGGGAACCACTCTCAAAACACGGTCTCATTCTAAGATTCCTGGAGACAGGATCGCCATTTTGGTCTGAGGTCGAGGTAAGAGCCAGTGGCTGACTGCTTTGTTTTTGGATCCTCAGGATGAACCCCCAAATTCTGACCCTGAACTTGTAATAGTCATGCTTCATCAAGGTACTCTCAGAAAATGAGTGAGTGGCTGGAAATCTTGTAGGGGGCAGATGATAAGAGCGGAATCTAGAACAGTGACCAGAGGGAGGATTTGGTCCAGAACCAGGGAGATAGAAAGTAGAGACAAGAATGAACGCCAAGGCTAAAGTATCAGAGCAACATAAGAAAAGCCCCAAAGTACCTGCTTGTGTTTAACCAGGTGAGGTTGGACAAGGCTACTTACTGACTTAAGGTATTCTTTGCAAAGCTGCACATATTCTGTATAGCCAATAGCAGCCTTACCCACATCCTAATACAGTCATTGTTAACTGTTGACAAAAACAGAGAGAGACTGAATGTGGGATTCCCCTCTGTATACTGTGAATATCGTTGGTTAATAAAGGAACTGCTTTGAGCCTATAGCAGAGCTATAGGGGAACAGAGTTAGGCAGAGAAAACTAAGATGAACGCTGGGAGAAAGAAGGGCGAAGTCAGAGAGAAGCCATGGAGCCCTGCTGGAGACAGATGCCAGAACTTTAGCTGGTCAATCACAGTCACGTGGCAATACACAGTTTAATAGGAGTTGGTTAAATTTAGATGTAAGAGTTAGCCAATAAGAAGCTAGAACTAACTAATGGACCAAGCAGTGATTTAATTAATACAGTTTCTGTGTGATTATTTTGGGGTTAAGCAGCCGGGAACCAACAAGTGGCCTCATTGCAACAACTGAACACGGTCCTCAGTTGTCCTCTCATCCAATGAGTGATTTCTATACATGATGGCAAGAAGCGCTTCTCACAAGTTATGAGTTTCAGTTTTGTACTTTTCACTTCTTTTTGTGTTGCTTTGCTGCTGGGGCTACTTTTTCTTAAAAAGCACAAGAGCCTGGCATAAGCACATAAGCTGGAAGAAAAGTCAAAACGAAGAGCTTTGTCTTGCTCAATGAGTCACCATCCCCTGCTTCCCTTGGGAGTTGCCACAGAAGACAGTGGGAAAAAACCCACACTGCAAAGGAGCCTCAGAGAGCAAGGTGTGCTGTGAGCTGCAGGTGAGCGAGTCTGGCAGTCACACCGTGAACCACATTCCATTCTCCAGCACACCCAGGGAAACAGAAGACCCAAGAGCTGTCTGACAGGCAGCAGCGAAAGGGAAAACTTCCCTGACAAGAGGCACTATTTCTAGGAAAGAGAGGTGGGGGCGGGCATTTCATGCCATAATCCAGGCTCCTTCATGATCTAGCTCTTATTTCTCCGGAAAGAATTTGTTCATTCAACAAATATTTATGCAGAGTTGACAGATCGAGGTGCTGAGAAAGTAGTAAGCGAAAGTAGATACGTCCCTTATGTCATACCATAGGAATCCTGCATCAGGACGTAACGTAAATGGACCCAGGATGGTGCATCAAAGGAGAAAGCAGATAGCTGATACTTTCAGAGTAGGAAGGAGGGAGATTTGACTCATGGAGACACTCATGCAAGGTTTTTAGTCTGTAGCTGGAAGCTGAAGGAAAAGCTGGTGAACGGTCTGAAAGGGGGCTCTCAGGGAAAGGACATCAGGGAAGTGGCCCCTCCCTATCTCTAGTGTTGCAATGAGCTCTTCACCCTGTCCCTCAGGCCTGGGCTCTTGGAGTGTGGTTCTACCCTCTGGATGATTGCTCTGGAGATTCCCCCACCCCCAGGCTCTCTATATCACCTACCATCTACTAACCTTTCCCAGCTCAACTTGTGTGGAGACTCTTTCCCTTCCACCCCTCTTGAGCCACAGAGAAATACTTCCCAATGTGATGCAGTTGTCTCTGAGACTTAACTTCATAAGTTAGCGTCTGTCCTGTTAGACTGTGAGCTCCCTGGGGACGGAAGTCAACCTTATTCTTTATGATCCCAGCATTTCCCATAATACAGGAGTCTATGGACAGTAAGTGTTAGTGAGAAAAAGAAAACAATAAGAATTCCATGTCTTGACCGTGGTAGTAACTGTGAACGCTAGTACTTGAATGTCACTCTCTGTATGCTAAAGCTGCTGTAAGCATTTGAACACTCTGATCAACCAGCCTAAATGGTGGCTGTTAACCTCTCTCTTACAGACGTTGTTTAAGCTTTTGATTCTAATCTGTAAAATGCAGATGCTAATAAAATTTAATTTTGAAAATGAGAATTACAGAAAGTGTTTTGGTTTGAATATGAATTGTCTCCTACTGGTTCACATATTAAAGCCTTGGTCCCCCACTGGTGGTACTAGCTGGGAAAATTCCAGGTACAGCGGGAAGCGAGGTCTACCTGAAGGAAGCAGGTAACTAAGGTCACACCTATGAAGTTTAAGGTCCCCAGTCCCCGCCTCTCTGCCTTCTGCCGCCTGGGAAATAAAGACGTTCTTGAATGGCATCCTCGGCTACCGCGGCGTTCTACCCAAGCTCATGGAGTCAAGCAAATGTGGACAAACCCTCAGATATCTACAAGCTAAAATAAATTGTTTATATCAGTCATTTTATCACAAATCCAGCAAAGGAGATGCGTGCTTGGCGAGTCCTGGCTAAAGACTGCACGCTATCATGACGACATGCAAGAGCAAAGGCGGGAGCCCAAAGTCCTGGGTCATAGACTCCACTCTTTAGGGAACGAAGAATAACAACATACCTACCCTATTAGAGCACAACACAGGCTTGGTGTGACCTCCACTTTGAGAGCAGCGGCAGGTTTTCTTCCTGGGCCCGACACCCTCCACTCCCTAGAGGCCCTCAGCTACGGGTCACAGCCGGGCAGGATGTACAAGCGGCTGAAGGGCCGCAGATGAGCTCTCTGTGCAAACAACTTTCCCTTGGCTCTGGAAGACTCACAGCAGCTGTCGCTGTGGGTGGAGCCCGTCAGCGGGTCCAGCCTTGTGACACCGACACAGATGTCATCTCCGCAGTTCCACAGGCCGCAGGTTGGAACGCCTATGAGAGAAGACAGTCCGGAAAGGTAAACACGATGTAGTGATCAACAGCGGCAGCTGAAGCCCATCGCTCTTGCTGAACAGTACGCGGCTACTCCCGATTTCAGCAGGTCTTTAGGCTTTCCTGAGTCTTAGCTTTGATGCAGTATTCGTTACTTTTCTGTTGCTGTAATAAAAACACCACGACCAAGGCAACTTAAGGAAGAAAGGGTTCAAAAACAGAAAAAACTAAAAACTCTAAAATGAAGAACGTGCCCATTTGGCTTCTGGTCCCAGAGGTACAAGAATCCGTTGTAATGGGATGGCATGGCAGGGAGCAGCAGGCAGTGCCTGCAGGAACAGGAAACCAAGACATCTTAGACTCAACCATAAACAAGAGTAGACAGAATTAGCTGGAAATGGCACGATGCTTAAAACTCTCAAAGACTACCTCCAGGGAAATTCTTTTTCTCCAGCGAGACTGTACCTCCTAAGCTTCCACAAACAGCGCCACCGCCTTGGAACCAAGTATTCAGATACCTGAACCTATGGAGGACATTTCTTATTGAGCTACCATAGTCACTCACAGGTAGGGATGATATAATCCACCATTCTCTACTAGTATGTATTCCTTCCCCCCACTGGCTAATTATCAGAATTTGAAAAGCAGGGATAAAAATGATGTCTGCATCCAGGGAATGGCATTTAAAAGGGTTCAGCTGCAAATTCCACAGCACTGGGTCGTTCACAGAGATCATGAACAAGGCATAAAATATTTGTGAAGCCTGCTACTTCATTTTGTGATGTTGCAGGAGATACAAGTTGATTGAATCAAGCCCTTATTCCCAAGAGAGCCTTGCTTAGAAAGAAATTCATTCTTCTCCCTGGCACTAGGAGAAAAGGCATTGGTGACAGGGGAAAGGCCTTGGCCTGCACAGCATCCAAGCTCCTGACACTTGGCCCTCCCTAAGGGGGTATCTGGTCTCCTAACTCTAGCCATCAGCTCAGAGCTTGCCCAGAGAGCCTGGTCCAGGGCTCTAGGGACAGGCATATGGGATAATTTCCAAATCTTCAAAATAAGCAAGCAGGGGCCTCTGACAACAGGCACAGTGTCCTGAGTGGAGAAGGGAAGTGGTGTTGATGGAGAAAGCTGCCAGGGACTCAGGAAGGAAAATCACTAGGTGCTGAGGTGGCTTGATGGATTCCGATGCTCTGATTGTCATGCAGACAGGCGCATTGCTCTTAAGCTTCTTCTTGCCTCATTTCCCTTTTCCCTCTGAGAAGATATGAAGCTAGTAAAGGGTGGAAGTTTTCTTATTCAAATATGATTCAGGAGGAAGCTTAGCCACAGAACAGGAGAGTATTAATTACCGCCTTAGAGAAGAACTTGTAGCGACAGGTCCCAGATAGATCCACCCCAGATTTTTCAAAGAAGGCAACTCCGTCATCATGTATTGCCAAGAACTTCCAAGTTCAGGAAGAAGCCGTCTGCTTCCACACTGATCACCTGATTGAAGGTACCCAGCAGGTTCCCTGTGAGCAAACCAGAGGCTTCAGTACAACATGGCCCACAGGAGTAACACAGGACCTGTCTGCAGGCTGAAACTCGTGACTCTTCTATTTGCCCTAAGTCCAGAGCTACTTCTCCCGGGAGCCGGAGTGAAGCTTCAAGACAATGGCTACGATGAATTGCTTATTGCGATTAATCCTCAGGTACCCGAGAATCAGAACCTGATTGCAAACATTAAGGTGAGTGTCAATTATGTAGTCAATACCATTAGCCCATTAGTTCAGACCTGTTGCCGTGTTAAGGAAGTTAACCCCACCAGGTTTGAACTTGAGCAGGACAGAGACCAGTATTTCTTAAAGACAGCGCAGACTGAAGGACTGTGAGTATTCTGGCTAGATCACATAGTTGTATAAAGTCTCCACTCGTAGAGCCCTCTCTGTCTTTTTATTAGTTACCATCTCTTGGCTGTAGGGTATAATTGTAGGTTTTATATGTGACTCTTCTGGAGAACAGCTTAGAGAAACCAAAGTTGGCGATGGTGAAAGCAAACCGGATGGTTGAATGACAGAGGAGCATGGGGGCGTGTGTTAAGATCATCCTGTGGTATCTCATTTCGAGAATTACCAGGGAAGAATTAACAAGAATCTGTGTAGACTGCCAGAGAGAAATTCCTTGTTTTTTCTTGATGTTCTATGAAATAATTGACAGTTTTTACTGTAGCATGGTAAGGAAGGTTCATTACCTAAGAGCCTCTTTTTGAAAATAATGTCCTCAGAAGGTGCAGGTCCGGACATGCCCATAGGTGTGACATCAGGATGTATTCAGTGAAAGCTTAAAACCCTTTCAGAAACTTCGGGGAAATTGTGAGGGCGAGTTCTGACATATAACCAGGGTACTAACAATCTCTTACAGGTCATCATTCAATGTCTTTTCTAGAAAAACCTTCAGGGCTTCATTCAGAATCTGTTTATGTGTTTTTCACTGTGTTTTATGTGTCTTCAGAGAACCAGGCATTTGTATACACGAGCCAGTGTTTCTTCTGCTTGGTTATAGGAGATGCTAACTGAAGCTTCCTTTTACCTGTTCAATGCTACCAAGAGAAGAATGTTTTTCAGAACGATCCAGATTTTAATTCCTGCCACTTGGACAGCTCATAATTATAGCAAAGTCAAACAAGAATCCTATGAAAAGGTAAGGATTTGGGATTCACTTAAAAGAGCCTAATTCAAGTTGAGGGAGAAAAACTTTCCAAATCTCCTTTGCCACTGATACTGGGACAGAGCTATGTTACTGCAAAGAGTGTTGCTGAGAAAGTGTGTGGACTTTATCCCATAGACCTCTATAAATGATTATTAGAAAAAATGAAAACAGTAATAAGTGTGAATTATTCAGTCACAAACTAAGCCATGTGTCACCATTTAACCTGCTTCTTGGGACATCTCTATTCTGTAATGCACAAGATCCTGGCTCAGTATTTAGTAGAGGAAAGAGTCAGGTTTATCCTGCTGAGGGTGAGCAGGGACCAGACCAATCCAGCTCTGGTAATCTTCACTTGCATTGGGTTGGGAAAAGTCAAGCCTATGCTGAGATCCATCCTTACATGTAAAACTGTGGAGTAAAGGAGCATACTTTTGTCTTTAACTAAGGCCGGCATGCTGTTCAAAGGAGAATGGAGAGAGGCGAGCAAGAATGAGGGGCAAGTGGTTCCATCTTCTTTCTTAACCTTGAGGAACACAAGCAAACTACAGGCGATAGGCAAATATTCATTGCTGTGCACCCATAAATAAATACATGCTAAAGCATTTGAAAATTACTGTGACTAAGAGTCCATTGCACATATGAGAAGAGCTAGGAACAGAGCATGGGGAAGAACGTAGGGCTTCAGCGATAGAGTGGCCTTGCTGTCTGTAGCTATAGTGCCATCAGGGTAGCTAGGGCATGAAAAACGTGTCTTAAAAATCTGTGTCACTTGACATAAATTTCCTCAGATTGTTTTGATTTTAGCTCTCCCTTGAAGGTTCTCTTAGAAATTGAATGGCCTAGCAATGTAGACTGTAGCCCAAAGGCATGAAACCATTGAGAGGTTTACAAAAGCATTAGGGTTTTCATCAGATAGAAGCATTTGACAGTGCTTGCATGAAGATAAACAGGGAACTGGGAATAAACTGGAGAAAACACACAGTTTATTAAATTTTCATTAAGTACCTTCAATTTGGATATATATATATGGTGTGTGTGTGTGTGTGTGTGTGTGCATGTCTATAATTTAATGCCTATGCAGCCCCAAGTTAGTTACTATTATCCAAAATTAATAATTATGTTCACAAAAGGTAAGGACTTTGTTCCATGCAAATAAGTAAAAATTACGGATCCACAGTTTGAATATCTATTCAACTTCAAAACTCATACTGTTTACACCAAGCTACGCAGTCTCAAAAGAGTACATTAGTGAACTTTCCCTTCAGTTCTAGTGAGAAGTCAATGGTTGTACCCTGATCCTATGAAAGGTTTAAATTCAGCATATGTAATATCATCAGATGTCTTGGATACAATTTTTCTTAATATCATAATGTCAGTTAAGCAAAACTTAGTGAATGATACTGATCTACCTGGCTGTGGAAATGAATGCTGGGGCTACAATATTTTATACTCAGTACAGAAGAGGCCTCCCAGGCGCTGTCCTGCTGCCCTCGCTGATAGAGCAGCCGTGGAGACTTGGGTGAAACTGCCACAGCTCCTCCCTGGGCGGTCCTGGGTGATGTGCAGATACTATTCTATGTTCCCAACTATTATAGTGCCATACAATCATAATGTTACAGTGTTGATGGCCGAGAATATTTTGCTCTGGAAAATGGGAGGGTAATAAAGGAGGGAAAGAAGTTCCATGGAAACTGGTTAAACTTTTAAAGCTCTTTCTGAAAGCGTCCACGAATTCAGCTAATGTTTAGGTCTCAGAGTATCTTAACTCGTAAATTCAAGGCGCTCCTTCTGCCTTTAACCTGTTGTAGAATCAAGCATAATTACATACAACAAAATTGTAGCTTAAATTTGTTCTGTTTTAGGCAAATGTCCTAGTGACGGAGCAGAATGGGGTACATGGGGATGATCCATACACCCTACAGCACAGAGGGTGTGGAAAAGAGGGGAAATACATCCATTTCACTCCGAACTTCCTGCTAAATGATGAGCTGATAGCGGGATACGGCTCAAGAGGTAAGTTCAGATCATAAAAATCCAGCCCCTCAAAAGTACAGTAGCTTGTGTTTCGTACAGAAGAGACCTCATAAAACTTTCCACCTATCAGGAGGCAAGCCAAGTACACAAGGAAGGAAAGGGACAGAATGAGCCAGGAAGACCAAGAACCAGCTAAGGTATAGAGTGGCGCTCTGAGAATCCAGGGAAGACAACTAAGCCGAGGGTTGTCGGGAGACGTTTCACGGAGGAGAGCTGAGCCATACTTTGCTTAGTGGAAAGGAGAGTATCAGGAAGCGTGTGAAAAATACGGAAGCTGCACAGAGACACAAGGCTGTTGAGGGAAAAATTAGACCCATGGACAGGGCATGAAGGGAAATGCCAACATGTCCCTTACAACCCGGTGATGGGGTGAATCATGGAATATCCACACCATGAAGTCCCCACTGAAGGCTCACGTGTGTGGGAACAACAGGACCATATCGTTTTCAGAAGGTGGATCTGTCCGTGTGTGTAAGTGGGCTTGCTAGGATCAATGAAGGAGAAGCTGGATGCGGAAGGATACATCGGAACCCTGCAGGGGTGGGATCAGGGGGCTTGAATTGGGCATCAAAGAGGAAAGAACCACAGTCCAGGATACAAGCAACAAGGATTTCCCATGCCCAGAGGCTCTGCCAATTTCATTTAAAGTATTTTCTTATGAAATCTGAGTGGTCCAAAGTACTGAGTAGTCCAGAAAGAAGTTCTGGCAGGCTGGCTGCAGAGTAAAAGACAAGAACTGTGTGCAGATGACGTTGGGAAATAGGGGCACCAGGGGAGAGGGGAAGTCATGGGTCTGGGTTAGACGAGAAGATGGTGGGGAGCAGGAGAGTGTCCTACAGATGACTGGCTATGGTCAGATATTGGTGTATGACACTTAGGAGAAAGGTCACAGTCACCAGCCTGCAGGCTAGGGGACTGTGGGTGAGGTCTACCAGTCTGAGAGAGATACTAGAGAACAGGTCAGCCAGCCCAGTGCTGGCTCTAATTTGCAATTTTATTTTTGGTTAAATTTTAAATAGGGGGCCAGGCAGTGGTGACACATGCCTTTAATTCCAACACTCGGGAGGCAGAGACAGGCAGATATCTGTAAGTTCGAGACCAGCCTGGTCTACAAAAGCAAGTTCCAGGACAGGCTCAAAAAAAATTAAGTAGGGCCCTTCAAAGATTTTTATTTTTTATGAAATTTAAAACTAAGTAGACTGTTATTCCTGCTTAGCAAGCAGGAAGTAAAGCAATATACCGTAGGATATTTTATAAAAATCTTAAACATTGGATTTCCCTCTATCTGGTAACTAACCATGAGGCTGGTGTTCTCTGGTCCTACATAAGACTTCGTCAGTGTCTCTAGATTCATGAGTCAATACATACTTCCCCTTGTTACTCTCAGCTGTGGCTGTTTGCTCCGAACATGCAAACATTGCACAAAGTACCCCCCGAGTTACAGGATCTAAATTAATTCAGGCAAAGGGAATAGGTGTTTTGGTTTGGGAAGGGAATTGACCTGGAAAGTTTCCATGGAGAACAATTAACTTCTGAGCTGAAGTTGTAAGGAAATGAGATCTAAGATTAGAGAGGACAAGATAAATCTGTAAAGGACTTGATGTTAAGAATGAGAATTTCCAAGAACTAGGGTTAGAAATCAGAATCAAAGAGAAAGGAGCATCAAGGCTGGAGGGGAATGCTGTGATCTCAGTTCCTTCCTTCTTCCCTTGTTGCTAGGTTGCAGTCACTAATGTAGACAGGGGAATGCCCACAAGAGAACAAGCATGCTTAGGCATAGACTAAACTTTGAAAAGTTATGTAATTGCGAAGATGTACGTCTTCCCTCTAAGTCCTGAACTTACTGGGTTGCATGCAAGATGAAAAACTAGTTAGACAACTTCAGGGAGAAAGAGAATGTGGGGCTCCTTGTCTCTTCATCAAATGGGTCATTGGAGGAGCAATCATTATCATGCTGACATTTCTATGATGGTAGAGGATGAAGTAGGTAAGAGGGAGGAAAATGACCAAAAAACTCTGTCTTCAACTGTTTGGAGCAAGAGTGTAGTCAGCTAATACTACATTGACGTTGATTAGCAAGAGCCATTGCTGAGACTTTAGGTGCTCAAAAGGCCACAACTCCCTCTTCCACAGGCAGAGTGTTTGTCCATGAGTGGGCCCATCTCCGCTGGGGAGTGTTTGATGAATATAGCAAGGAAAAGCCATTCTACTTGAACGGGCGAAATGAAATTCAAGTCACAAGGTCAGTGTTTTCTCTCATATTTAAAATTCACTGTTGTAAATGGGTTTTTCTGTCCCGCCCTGCCGCATCCTGTCCCACAGTAACTTCAAAATAATCCCTTAGAGGTTTAATACTACAAATTGTTTGGTCTATAGTTCAGGCTTATTACTAAGTAGCTCTTACGTTTAAATTAGCCCATTTCTAATCTATGTGTTGCCACGTGGCCATGGCATTACAGATCTGCTGGCATCTTGCCTCTTCAGCTGCTGGCTTGCATTTCCCCCAGACTCTGCCCTTCTCCTCTTTGAATTTTCAGTTTGGCTTTCTCACCTGGCCTTCTTCTGCCTCGCTATAGGCAAAAGCAGCTTTATTATTAACCAATGAGAGGAATACATATTCAGAACATATAGAAGGGTTATCTCACAGCACTGATGATTGAGTGCACTGAATAAAACTAGAAGAGTTTTAGAATATTTTTCACAATAAGTGGCTAGACACATTGATACATGCTGCTATAATCTCAGCACTAGGAAGACCGGCACAAGGTGTGCCATAAATAAAGGCCAACCTGGTCCCACACTGTGAGTTCCAGATCAGCTGGAGCCACATAGTGAGGCTTTGTCTCAAAAGACTAAAAAATCAAATGACAAATAAGAAAATAGACATTTTTGTCTTGACTTATAAGGTGACATAAAAATAAGACATAAAAATAGATTAAGGACAAGTAAATAATAGCAAGTAAAATAAATTATTCTGTTTTTTATTTTTAATTTTCATTGAGTTTTAAAGTGGGCAAGTATTTATGTAATTCAAATATGAGCAGTGAGGAAGTTGTGTCCTTCACTGTCTTACTGACCACATCTTCATTCTGCTTCCTCTATGAACTATAAAACGTTATATTCTTCACTGTTTGACCACTGTCTTCCTTCTACCTTATCACCTTTGAATAACAATATTGATTCATTTCTTACTTATTTTGCCTCATCAAGAAAATTTAAATAAATAGGAATATATATTTTACTCACCCTTTTAAAAATTATCACACAATGTTCCATTGTGTTGTTATGCCGTAACATACTCAATCAGTCCCCTATTGTTGGACATAGTGATTAATAGCAACCTTTTGTGGTTTTAAATATCACTGCCGTTTATAGCATCATATATATGCTACTTCATATTTGTGCATGGAAATCCATATATCTAAAAAAACTTCCAAGAATTCTAGATCAGAGAGCATCCTCACTAGTAAACAAACATGCATCATCAGTATCTATTCTAAATGGCACCATTTCTTACTCACGTAGAAATGCTCAGAATATTTTAATGAAATGGAGTCTTTCCAAAGTTCACTCTCTTTCCCTGATGTCCAGTGGAGCATAGGATGTTGCTGCCCCTGTCCTTCCTTGGTCTTCCCTCTCCCATAGTCGCTATGAGCTCCTTTCCACTTTTTCTCACTCTGGTTACTAAAAGTTTTGACAATACAAAACTCCCTCGCCCAAACTCAAAGCTTTAAAATTAAAGAGAGAGACTGTATTTCTAAGCTAATAAACTTCCTTAAGAGAAGACTCTAAAATGTTTATACATGTCTACTGAGTTAAAATTCTTGAAACAAGCTGTTAAAAAAGATAATCAAGAAAAAAAATATTTCTAAATATTTCTAAAAGATACCCAATTCCTAGTTTCTCCTTCCATTTTTTTAGGTGTTCATCTGGCATCACTGGGGTGTTTGTATGTGAAAAGGGCCTTTGTCCCCATGAAGACTGTATCATTAGCAAGCTTTTCAGAGAAGGATGCACATTCCTCTACAACAGCACCCAGAATGCAACTGCATCAATAATGTTCATGCAAAGTTTGCCTTCTGTAAGTATGTACTTGGAATGACAAACTCCTATAGGCTGCCACATCTTTCTAAGACACACAGATCTGTTGGAGGGAAGTTGCTTATTGGTTCCCGGCTGCCCTGCTAGCTTAGACCCAAAATAATCACATAGAAACTATATTATTGAAATCACTGTGTGGACCATTAGCTCTAGCTTCTTATTGGCTAACTCTTACATATTAATTTGACCTATTTCTATTAATCTGCATATCACCACATGGCAGTGGCTTACCAGGTAGCGTTCCCAGTGTCTGTCTCAGGTGGGGGATCCATGGCTTCTCTCTAATTCCACCTTCTTCCTCCCATGCTATAGGCCAAGCCAGTTCTTTATTCATTAACCAAAAAGCAACACATAGACAGAAGGACCTCCCACACCACAGATCTGCTTAAAGTGTGTAAAAATCGGGACAAATTAGAGTCACTATAAGAGAGTCTGAGGGGCTCTATTAACTTAGTCTTTATTTTAAAAACAAAAAGAAAATCTGTCTCCTCCAAATAATAGCCAATACAGATTGTTTTTAAAAGTGAAAATCCACTTTCCAGGAGAATGTCCAAGAAGAGGCCCTTTGAGGCCACAAAATGAGCTGCCCATGTGGCGCCATTCCTTTCTTGTGTCATTTCAGAGGAAGAGGTATGAGGTTTGCAAGAATGATGGAAAAAATAGCAATATTCCTCTCCCTTGAGGCTCTTTCCTTTAAAAAACCATCTAAAACTTCAAAGACAAGCAAAGTAGCCCAGGGAAGTGAACTGATCCTCAGCTTTGCACCTAAGTCTTGTCAACTAATATTTCATATTAACTTACGAAAGATGAATGTAACTCCATTTTAGAGTTGATATTTAAGAGTATTCAGTTACAGCCTTTCTCTCTGGCCAGTTCATTTTCTTTTTTCTTTTCTTCTTCTTCTTCTTCTTCTTCTTCTTCTTCTTCTTCTTCTTCTTCTTCTTCTTCTTCTT